TAAGTAATATAATTAATTAATTCAGGAAATTTTTTTTAGAACAATTAATATTTTCTTGCTGGCAAAAAAATAAAATTATTATAATAATTCATTATTTTTAGAATGTTATTGTTATAAACTAATATTAAATAATACTCCTCCAGTCCTTAATATAGGACTCAATTTTTGAGTGGTTTTTGGTCCTAAATATAAGACCCATTTGTTATATTTATCAATTTTCTCTAAATTACCCTTATGGATACTCCCTTAATTATAATCAAGTAGAAGAGGGAGATGGGGTATTAAGAAAAATAATTATGGTGTTTTAGGAAAAATGTGTCATTTTTCTTATAATTAACTAACTTACCTAACTTTCTTAATTTAATCAAATTAGTTAAATGGGTCTTATATTAAAGACCGGAGGAGTATATACTATTTTATGATTATAGAGTAGTATTATTAGAATTCATAAGATAAAGAGTAAAAAATTCAGGGACTTAATTAAAAACGAGGTGAACTTATAATGACTTGATAAAAAGAAAAATAAATACTAGAACCTAATTAAAAATATGTGAAAGTATAAGGACCTAATAAAAAAATTAAAACTATAGGGACCTGATTCAAAATCTGTTAAAACTATAGAGACTTACAGATTAATTATCCCTTTTTATTATAGACGTGTATAAATGTTTTCATGAAAATGATCTGAATGTAATATTCCGTTCCCGATAATGATATAAAATTTTTCTTAATATTTAGTTTAGAATAATTTAATTTGTATTTAAAATGATAAAGTGTTTCATATTTATTTTAACTTACTTTTTACATGAAAAATACAACTTGCACAAAAAGAAGAAAATTATCACATTCCATTCCCATGTGTTTCAGATGGAACAAAATGCAACTATCTATTTTCCCCACTTAAAAAAGCATTCTCTTTTCTTTTGCAAAAAGACTGCACGACTATTTAATAATCTAGATATATATATTTCTTACACGATAATTGAAATTAAAAAAGTCACATTATTTATTATATTCGAATATATACAATATAGTTTATATTAATTTGATATTTTCTAAACACATTGTCTGGACATTACATTTGGAACATGAAAAATGAGTTATACTAATTATAGCACAACATATTATAAACAATATATATTAGTAATGAATAATGATAATCACATATTAATATACTGAATTGTAAGAGATTTTTTTTTTATATAATACAATTAAATGCACAGGAGCACAAACATGTTAACGTCAACCTTGAATTCAAAATCCTGTCCAAACGTGACAGGTGGTATTATTGCTGGGATAACCAAATGATATTATAAGAGAATGCAATAATAAAATACTCTTAGTCAACCCTAAGGGGTTAGGTCAGCTGGCTGGGGCTGTCCTAGCTTAACCACAGGTCTCGAGTTCGAGCTGTGGGAATGCAGCACCCTGAGGGGCCAGAGGGCGCCGACTGAAAGGTTCCTTGCAAGCCTTCGATTCGGATTAGTCTGGGGACGTTGTCACGGCTGAAAGACGCCTATTTCCCTGGGATACCGGAGGAGAAATCCAAAAAAAATAAAATACTCTTAGTCGTCTCAGTTTAATAATTACGCAATCTTGATTTTATACATGTCGAGTTTTATTTCCATCACATGGATCTCGCGAACACACCTAATTCCTTCTTAAATTCAAGTATCATCACATCATTGATGTCATATGGAAATGTTTAATTCATTAAAATAATTTCTGGAAGAAAAATAATTCAGTAAAATAATGATAATGAGACAAGTACAAAATTAATATATCAGTTATATATTTTCTAAGAATGGCTGACAACTTGACATTAAATTTTGGGCACCTATAATTTATTACTCATTCCCGTCTTATTTATAAACAAAAACCATCTAAATTTTAGATATTAATTAATTATAAGTAAAAACTACAGAGTTTTAAGTAAAATTAATGCATGCTTTTAATTATATACCACTATTCAAAATTAGAAGAGATGCATAATTGGAACCGTTCTAATAAATGATCACGATTATTACTAATAAGGACATTTGAGAAAAACTAGATCTTATTGATCAAAAGATATAATTAATTTTTTGGTCTTGAATTAATGGTTTCTAGGTTTCGAAGTTTTTATTGGGTTACTTCTTGACCTGTTTCATTTATTCGTTTTCGGTAGTCTTGAGTTCTGCTTCAAATTACTATATTGGATGCACAACTAACGATAATATTTTTAAGAAAATTCAATCCACTTTTTTTTAAAATAAATTTTATAAAATAACCGTAATATTTTTAGGAAAATTATAAACATTGGAATGGCAAATACATTCAGGCCAAAAAAAAAAAGAATAGCAAATAAGATTATTCAACAGAATTAAGCCAGTGCCTGTGTGTGTATATAAGTGCTCTCCAACTTTATTGTCCAGTAATTGGCAATTTTTTTTGGTCAAAGCCAGTAATTAGCACTTTGGAAATTCAATAGCGACGGTTAACTCTGTTGTCAAATTCACGAGTTGACTCTCTAAGTCTAATGTTTTTACATTTTCAGCTAATAAAATTGTGTCGATTCACTCTTAAATTTGTGATAACTATAAACTCAGTTAAACTTACAAGTTCATTTACCGAGTTTACGTTTTAAACTTACAAAATCATGTCAACTTGCACTTAAATTTATGCTAAATTTTTGGATTTGAGTGACTTTATATATGAATTTTATAGAAATTTCTTTGTTAAATGTGATAAATTATGAATGTTGATGGATATAATTTTAATTATTTAAATTTAAAATATATTCAAATGAAATTGTTATCATTTTTAATGTATTAATTATTTGATTATATAATTTTAATACCAATTTATTAATAAAAGTACGATCCGAATTTATATCATTCTTATGAGTTTGTTTAAAACAACCAACTAATTATTATGATTTGCCATAAGATTTTCTATGATTAACCGGAGATTTTTGGGTAATTATAAATTATAATTAATTCTTATAACAGGATGGTCAGTACGGACAGCATCCATCACCAAGAAATTAAAATTATAAGCACCACGGCAGGAATACGATGTGAATTAAGAAGTTGGATTAATTATTAATTATATAGCTAACTTATTGTTTAAATCCCTAAATTTGATGGAACTGTTGGTGAGACATAATCTGGCAATACTGGCTTCACGTGATGCTGAATTTAATGCGCTCAATCTATTTGTAGTTATCCTATATAATATATGTGGTGATCCGATCCACAAATTTTCAATATTTATATATGGGGTCTGGATATCACGTATAGAGTTGAAAGAGAAATTTTAATGTTCATTACTTTCTGTAATAAATATTTCTTCTAGTCTTAAATATAATTTCTTTTTAATGAATTTATAAAATAGAAAAGACATATTAATTTTTTACTTTTAATTGTCATGTGAATAATTTATACCACATTTTAAAAAATAACCATACTATTTTAATAACTAATCTTTGATATACAAAGATAAACATGCTCCAATAATTAGAGATAGTTCCATTATTAGAAAAATTAATTTATGAAGTAAGAGAAAATGCCACCTTATACTGAAGAGCAAATCAAAAGTCAAAACCTCAAATCACTTTATATTTAACTAATATATATGTTTGTGGGGTATGTCTTATCATCTTATCTCGTGGTCTCATACAATTAATACAAAAGATTTGAAGAGACGTCATGCATCAATACATTCAACGGAGCACTATGTTATGTTTACATTTTGAGATAATTAATTTTTTAGTCTTTACAGTTTTAATTTTTTTTATAACTCATTCTTTATATTTTGATTTGATGCAACTCAATCTTTATAGTTTTGATTCGATTATAACTCAGTTTTTGAAATCACTGCAACTTGATCCATATACTTTTAACTATTTTATAATTTAGTCACTCTCTTTATAAAATATATAATTTCATTTTTTTTAAAAACACAAGGACTACATTATAAAATGGATAAGCTACAGGGACTGAGTTGCAATAAGTCAAACTTAAAGGACTAAGTTATAATCAAGTCATAATTATAAGAACTAAGTTGTACTGAGTCAAAGTGTGGGAACTGAGTTACAAATAAGGCTAAACCTATAAGAATCAAAAGATTAGTTTTTTCTTATATTTTTTTAAAAGAAAATCTTGCGTTGATGTATCAAAATTTTTAGATGAAATTCTATGAAGAAATAATTTTCAGTTGGAAAAAAACAGGCTTTAAAAATATTAGCTTCATGGCTTGTAACTTTCAAAACATGTTTTGCCTGAAAACATGGTATACCTTAATTACAACTAAACTCATTAATTTTGATCAAAATTAAATAACTTAAAAAATAATAATATTAACATTAATTTAATTTTTAGTTTAATGTTTCCTTTTAACCATTATATTAAATCAAGCTGTCCTAAATTTCAATTTATTGCATGTCATCAATAAGGACAAAACTTATATAATCAAACCTATTTGTATACTTAAATTATTTCATTTTAATCAAATGAGGAGAGTGAATTGTTTTATGCATTATTCATTTTGTATCTAATATTTTAGCGAACTATTTTGTAACCTTTTTATGATTAATATTTTTTTTTTGAATGAGGAAAACTGTAACAAAACTTCAAAGTACAGAAGACGAGAAGCAAAGCTAACCCACCTATCCGCTTTCATCAACCTCCACCTCTTGAAGGAAAGGCGGCTGTTGATCAAACAGGCATGATTAATATTATTAACTCATGTACTTTCAACTTTAATTCTAATTTAATTTTACAAAAAAAATATTATACATAAAAGCTTACATGAAGAAAAATAAAGGGGGAATCATTATAAGAGACTAAGAAGTTTAATTAGCAAAAAGCCTGACAACAAACTGGAAGCGTGCAATGACAAGCTTAGATAAAAGAAATGACATGTTTATATCTAATGTATGCTCACTTATTATTAAGAATTTTTAGTAATATATTAAATTCCTTTATTGACACCTTATATTAATTCTCTCAAACATAAAATAAGCCAAGACCAGCACACAATATTTAAGATTTCATAAAACAAAGCATAGTTACGTACACAATGGTGCGCTGTACGTACATACACAGGGTCTTCAAATCTTAAGCCAAACCAGAGATCACAAAGTGGTCATGAAGATACAAGAGACATCCATCATCCAAACTGACCCAATCTACAACATACATAAATACACAAGAGATTGATGATCATCGTCATCAATCTTTATTTAATTCATCATATATATTATATATTATATTAATTAATTACTGCATATATATATATATAGATATAGTTTATTTGGTGGTGGTAGTGCTTTGCTGGGCGTCTGCTGCTGGCTGAACAACAAGGTGAGCGTCGATGTCTTTGCTGACATCAATGGCCAGCTGAAGCAAAGAGTGAGGATCAGGAGAGTGATTTTTGAGCTTCTCGTAGTCCATGATCCAGTGAACCACACTGCCTTTCTCCTGAGGGAACACTTGGATTGTGATCCTGAACGTCTTGTAGTCTTCCATCAGATCTCCTTCCAGCACTTTGAATGTTATCTTGTTATTCTCTTTGTCTATGTGCTCCACCAGCTCCTTCGCCACACACTTCTTCCCATCTGTTTTATACGTTCATACGTTTCACATACAAATTCAACCAATTTAATTAATTTGCCATCAGATTTTATTTATGAAGCACACAACTACTTGCTCAAGTTGAAGCCTTGGATGCATATTTTATTTAATGTCCAGAACGTGTCAGGACCAGTCTTGGATGAGCCAAAACGTGCCTGGACGTCCAGGACTTGGGAGTTTATCCCTACCACCGTGGGACTGATTACTGAGAAAACGCAAGGTATAGGATAATCAGATTGATATAAATATGTCTGAAGTTTCAGACACATATTTATGCATGTAAGTCTTGAAGGAAACCCTAATTATTTTGAAGCAGATCAAAAGCCTCACACACAACACATATTAGAGAGTTAGGTTTCATCATAGTTGAAGAAGGAGCAAAAGTGATATGTTAAGCAGGTGAAAGATGATGAAAAAATTAATAATTAATCACCATGGACATAGTTCCAGAAGATGATAGATCCCTGAGAACCCCATTCGCCTTCGTGAATCTCAACGCCTTGGACTTTTTCAGGGCAAACGTTGGCTATGTGGTGAGTTCTGCTGCAGAAAACATCATGAAACTGCTCTGCCGTTGCCTTGATATGCACATCAGTCTCCAACTTGCCAGCTGCTTGGGACGCCATCTCTCTCTCTCTCTCTCTCTACTCAGAAATAATTTCTAATGTACAAAAGCTGCGCAGAACTCCTCAGTGCAGAGGTCCCTATATATAATGGAAGCTCGTGAGGCGAGCGAGGGCAGGCTTGACATTTCGATCTGCCTCTAGTTTATGATAAATTATTGTGCGAATTAGTTGAAATCCCATCTACCCATTCTTGCTTTTGTTCCCCATTAACTTTTTCCTTGTTATTAAAATGTCATTAGAATATTGCCGAAATCTCTTTTTCTAGATTTCCAGTTGCCTGCGTAAATTGTAGCAATACAACTGTTTCAACTTTCAGGAAAGAAAAAAAAAAAAACGCACACACACATCATTGAAAATTTTAACACTTCTGCAAATGGTTTCTTGTCTTACTTTCAATAAAATTAATCACCATTTCTATATTATGCAAGTTTATATTTTATTTTTTCCAGGCTCCTTATAGTTTAGTGAGAGCTCCTCAAACCATTAGTGCCTGGCTTTTTTTTTTTTTGGGGGGGGGGGGAATTCTTTTATCACGTCTCATCTGGACATATGGCGACTAATGATTCAAAAAGAAGGCATATCAATCAAATACGAGCTTGCATTTGGTATTCTTGATGAAAATCTGTGTAGTAACAGTAGTAAAAATGTCAGGCCGGAAAAAAAAAAACAATGGTAATAATGAAAAGGGCAGCTTTTTCCCCTTATATTTTCTTTAAACACAGATCAAATATGTTCATAATTTTAAAATATGAGAACTATTTATGAGGATCAAGAAATGGAGCCCGCAGGTCCATGTGGTTTGTAAAGATTCATGAGAATAAGAAAATGCAAATTCCAACTTGCACTCCAATTATTATTGGGCCACCTTCTAAATATATCATGTTCGTTGATCTCGTGAGTTCACTTTTGCAACACTTTTCCAGAACATGCACGCAATAATGTACCGAAAAGTGAAAGCTTAGATCGGATCATTAATTTGTTTTAAATAGTGATTGAAGAAAATCGGGGTCAATAAAATATATAAAAATATTTATTTATTATGCTAAATAGGATAATATTTATATTAAAAAGGGTATAAATCCATGAATAAATAAAATATTCATATATAAAACATATATAACTAAATAAAACATACTCGCAGTCACTAAAACTATTTTTTAACTTTAAATGATCATATTTTATGCTCAGTAATTAAAAAAAAAGAATATAAAATTTAACCTGATCGATTAATTAAGCAAGAACCAAACCAGAGCAAGACTTGTCAATCAATCTGAGCCAGCAACTTGATTGGGTTTAATATATATGAATATCATGGTCTAAAAGATCCAATTTGGCCATTTTCATCAAAATAGTAATACCTATCAATAGTAATACCTATCAGTAATGCCTATATATTATTAATTGCAGTTTAGTCGCAAAGGACTAATATAATTAAGGTCAATAAGGTCCTAAAAGTTAGCAAAAAATTGATATAAAGTCCCAATAGTTCTTGAGTGACTAACGAAAAGACAAAATTACCCCCATGCAAGAACACAAATCCCCTAGGTTAATATTCTTCAAATTAAATAGACCATCGCTTCCTCATCCTCTTCCGCTTTGCATCGCTTTAAACCACAGACCACCACAGTAATCATGGGAATGCCTTCTCCACCGCCACCAAATCCGACTAATGCCGCTGTTTGCTTCTGTGACCTTTCCTCCATCTGCTAATTCTCTGTGTTTAGGTCTGTATGTCTCTTCTTGTCTTGGTTCTGAGTTTATCTTCATGGTCGAAACTTTGAAAAATTTTCTCATTCCGGACACATTATTAACGAATGTTTTATTGCTTAAAAAATTGTTAATGTACAGAAATATGGGTGCTGCTTAATTAGCATTGAGAGCTAAGAACCCACTAAGCTCACTCTCGCTGTGAATGGTGAATGCTAGCCGCCAAATGAGAACGTTGAACCTACAACTGTCAACTGCTATGCACACACTATTTTGGTGCCACCGTACATTTCTCTATATCCCCAAAATTTTTATATGGTTCTTCTTGCTATTGTATTCTCAACAAGAAGATTGGGTAGATTCGTTAATATTCATCTCATCTTATATATGTGTTATGTTTTGTAAGGATCCGTGTTTCACCTTCTTTGCCTTTATAATTTAGATCGATGTTGAAAAAGAAAAACGGAAATAGATAGATGAAGCTACTGCTATTTTTGAAGCCAGGACACATTTATGCCTTATTTATGATTTGGTTGATGAAAGTCATCTTTTGATTCCGTAACAGTTGTTATGAGTACATTTAATTTATCAAGTACGGGATGCTATGGGGGTGTGTGCGCGCTATAATTGTAGGTCCCTATTGGTAGGTGTTATTATTTTGATCAAGAAAAGTTAGGTTGATATATGGCCAAGTTGCAACGAAGCTATTTATTTGATGTTGAACTTATATATATATATATATATATATATATATATATAAGAACGTTTATTATCAAGTATGGGATATATGTGTGTATGTGTGTGAGAGAGAGAGAGAGAGAGAGAACATTTATTATCAAGAATGGGATGTATAACTGCAGGTCGCCATTGGCAAGGTACTCTCTCGTCATAAATAATAAGATTTTGTTTCGATTTTAAACATAACATCTCAAAATTTCTTTTGTCTATTAAATTTATAATTTTTTTTTCAAACTATCGTATTCATTGGACTTGTATATACTCTTCTGATCCTATTTATAAGGCGCTTTCAACAAGTTTCACACAGACCAAGAAAAACCTTAAACTGTATTAACTCCTCATTAAAATATAGCAACTTTTCAACTTTACCCTTATTTAATATATACCTTTTTCAAAAAAGTAACTATCTACATTATAATAAATGAAGGACAACATGGTAAAGTCATAGTAAAAAGTTAATGAGGTGACTTATAAATAGGACCAAAAAAAACCTTCTCTCTCTGTCCTATAAATAGGACCAGAGGAGTATATATATCTATATATATATATGAGTTTTCATCCATGGGGGCATTGATTAATTAATTATTGTATTTTGGAAAGTCAACACGCATTCTTTACGTACAAAGAACTAGTAATTAACTGATTTTCTGTAAAAATATTGCTTTGTAAAGAAGGTAGAAAAATGGCAACTGAAATTCTCTTTGAGAACGGTGGTAGTGGTGGAGCGCCGGAAGACGGAGATCCGACCAAACGACGCCAGAAAAATTATAAAAAAGTAAGTAATGATGCAGATGAAATCTGGAAACTGAGATGAATCATGAAAAGACAGAGTCCTTCAAAGACAAACTGGTTGGGGCTGAACATGTGGCTGGTTCAAGCGACACTAAGGGCAGCAAAATATTTGACGATGCATGGAATGACTACTTGGACAGCATTAAGAGTTATTTCATCAGGGAGGATAATGCATAAGACCAAACAGAGGAAGATGGCGAGGACTACCCAACGCTTAAGGTACCCAGAGAAGACTACGAACGTTGGTGTGCACCGTGGAGGAAGTCGTTCATTATCCAGCTCCTTGGCAAAAGCATCCCGTTATGGTTAATGAAATCCAATCTGGCGTGTCTGTGGAAGACGACACATCCGTACCAGACCAAAGACTTGGGCAATGGGTTCTTTGTGGTATCCTTTGATGATGAAAACGACATGGATAAAATTTATCAGGATGGGCCGTGGATGATCGCAGACCACTACCTCATTGTTCAACGATGGAGGCCGAACTTCGATCCGTGGGAAGCCGGGGTATAAAAGAAGATTGCCGTGTGGGTTCGTATTCCACTCCTTCCATTAGAATTCTTTAATATAGAGAGCTTGAGATTGATAGGGAAGATGATTGGAAGAACATTAAAATTGACATGATTACATATAAAAGCGAGAGGGGAAGGTTCGCTCGCATCTCCGTCGAACTAGATCTCAAGAAAAAGCTCAAGTCCTCCATCAGTGTCTTCAGGAAAAGACGTGTTTTGGGATATGAAGGCCTTCATCTAATGTGTTTCCACTGTGGCAAGTATGGGCACCATAGAGATATGTGTCCTGTTAGGAGTTCTAAGCCTAAAACCAGCGATACCACTTCAGCTCAAGACACTGAAAAAAATACCGTTGACCTGAATGAGACTCCCAAAGAGTATCCGGCTTCAACACCAAACAACATAACGTGCATAACGTATAAGAGAGCAGAGTTCCTCAACGTCCTTGTGACTCGACAGTCGCTGGAGACCACGTCGGAAAATAGAAGCAACCGCAGACGGAGGGGCTGGGCGCTTGGAATATTGTTCAACAGTCAAAAGGAAGAATAGAAACTACAATAGAAACGGATCTGGCATTAATCAATAAGATATCAATCAGCAGATTCCCCAAAAATCCGCACAGATGAGCGACATTTGTGGAGGCAAAAAAACGAAAATAACAGCTCAAAAGGATATGATCAGATCCTCACAAATGAGCAATAGTCCACCCCCCTACTTTGGAAAGGAAATCAATGAGCAAACTCGTCAGATCGGGAAGGATTCTCAGAATAACCTCAAGTGGGTCCCAGTGAACCGAAATATTCACTCAAAAAATAATACTTTTGGAGAAAAAGAAAATCGCCCTCCTGGGAATGTGCACAGTCCCTCGACCGGAAAAGAAGAAGCTTCGACCAAGGCTAGTTTTTGGTAGGCTGAAAACCCCTTTGAAACTTTAGTTAACTTGAATGAGAATGGCACGCTTGAAGTCCCTGACTCGGAACCTGTACAACCAGCTATTAGGGATGAACATGCTAATGCTAACATGAACCAAGGAACAGTGTTAACTTTGGAGATTATATTTACGTGGGAATACGACGCTAATGATAACGTTAGGGTGCAGGAATCAGTGGCTGATCATGAAATGGCACAAGTCCACGAACAATAGGATCAACCTTCTCTCTCTTTGGGACCTATTGTTCGCACTGCAAGTGCACGGGGTCGTGACAAGTAATAAAGTGTTGAGAAAAAATAGTTCCCACAGGAATTTGTGTAAAAATCAAGACTAAACAAAAGGCTAAGTGAATTTAATTAAGTTGAGCCAACCAATTTTT